GCAGAGGTTATAGTATATATAGAGTTTTCCTTAGCTTGAGAAGGCTGTAAAGCAGTGTCGCTCAAGCTTTGGTAAAAACTTCCGCCTTTCCCTTATTTCATTATTCGAATAAGGTCCAGGTTGATTATTAGTTTTCTTTGGCTGGGCAGGGTTCTTTCGTTGGATACGAGAACCCTAACTAGTCCAATTTGAGATTTTTGGTGTCCTTAGTTACAAGGTAAAAAAGACCTTTTTCAAAATAGATGTCTTTTTAGTTTTCGTTTTTATTGATTAAACTCTTGAAACTGAGTTTTAAAGCGGTGTAATTTTGTTATATATGTTTTTTAATTTGTTTGTTATTTATGTTCTAAGGACTTAGTCCTTTGTGGTAGTTTGTCATTACGATGGAAGTTTTGCTCCGCAAAACTTCTCACTGTTGACACCGAGAAAGCCTGGGGCGAAGGCTGGGAGGAAGAGGCCTTGGGCGCCGCCGGTGAGCTCTGAATGATGACCAAGGGGGGAGGCTGGACTGGCTGATGTGATTTTGGTGGAGTCTGCCATTGGGGTGGCGGATTTGATCGAGGTAGGTGAGCCACTCGATTCCTGATGCCTACGTTGAAATAACCAACCACAACTTTCAGCTGCAATGATAGTTGCTGAAACGAAAAAAATGTACTCTGTACCTAAGGTAGCTTCCGATCCATAAGTACTCCTTGGAGGGCCCATCTCGCCGCCGCCATCGTTGGGCACATGGTGATGATTGACGTTGCCTGACGAAATACATTCAGTCAGAATTGGAACATTTGATGAAAAGTTCCAGACATACCATCATAACCTCCGGATTGCAAGCTTGAGCCTGAAGTGCGGTTGTCCCCCGGGTAGTGATATACCCGTTGGCGATCATACTTTGCTTTATAACAAAAAAAAGGGAGCAGGTTAGAGTCATGTTGTTCAACATAGGAAAGATAGAATCACTTACGCTGGTCATATCCAGAATACGTGCTCGGAGTGTGAGTGTCAGCCGGGTAGTGATACGCCTGTTGGTGATCATACCTGGCTAATAACACACCGAACCAATAATGTCAAAACCAACATGTGAAGTGTTTAAAGCGTGTAGAACTTACAATTGGCATCGGTATCATACTGGTTATTCATATTGGAGTAGTTCAACAACGAGGGCGAGTGGAAGTGGGATAAGGTGATGATAGGTACGTGGAACAAATGAGAGACTGATGAAGATATACAGAGAGAGCTAGCCAACCGGTGGCGGACTGAAAGATGTAGGAAAAGATAGGAAAAGAAATTAGCAGATTTGAAAGAGCCGTTGTGTGTGTGGATGGATAAGAGATAAATCCAAGAACCGCGAAAACGCCAATATCAGCCTTCATCACATCACTGCTTTTATACATGAGCTGAAGTCAGTGCTATAATATACCTTGACTTGACATACCAACGCGGAAACACGGACACGTGAGCCCGGGCTGAGGATACTTGCTGACAATCAAGGACAACATTAAGTTTAATCGCGATGAAGAAGTGGCCAAATCGAGCTTATTAGAGACCTTAAAGCGTGATTGTTGGTGCGGTGATGTTAAAAGAAGTTGGCTGGAGTGGAGAAGAACACAGAAAGGGAACTGCGTGATTAATAGAAGGGGTCAAAAGGGATCGCGAAGGCTACCTGAGGTGCAAGGGAGTGATCGTGCTGAGGCGGATGTGATTGATATCGATCGAAATCAAGGGTATACAGTGTGATAGGGCAATGAAGACGAGGAACAAACATGAAAACGACATGAAAGGGTCTGACGGTACCTATCAAAATGGGGCTATTTGTGGATATATCCAGAGTGGATTCCTATACTCTCCCGGTCAAATTTTGGACGGAGTGTAACCCATACAGGGTGTTTACACGGTCCAGTGGCTCGAATATTTTCCCACACAGCGTGTAAAAGTCCTGTATTTTTAGTTTTACACTGCCCGGTGGTGATGCTCTAAAGTAACAGGTCTTCTGGTACTTGTAACTTCACCCAATCCTGTATTGAAAATGACACTTTTGTCTCCCAGGGTTGGAAAGTACTGTACTGTATTGCCCAGCCCAATACTAATCAGCACCCTTCCAATATCACAACATACCTTTGCTTTACTGAAAACAGTAACATACCTGTGGCAGTGTTACCTCTTGCCTAAACAATGTATCAAAGATTGGGATTTGATGGTACATAATCATTATTACACATCTAATGTCCTTCTGAATCTCAAGTTAAAATTTGCCTTTAAGACCCAAATCTTCAAGACAGTTTTCAGTGAAAGAACAGATTGAATTCCTTAACAAAAAAAAACAAATAGCACAATTTTTTTTCCATCACTACCCTTCACATGTACTTCCCAGCTGATGTGGTGGGCACAAGCTTGAGAGAAAGTAGATGCCCAGGCATGCCCCCGTTATGGCTGGGGATGTGAGAGGGCACCAAGAGGTGCAAAAAAATGATCACAAATGGGTCAACTTTCTAATGATGTCTCATCACCCACATCTTCTACATCCCCAGAAATGTCAATCTTCCCGTATCATGAAACCTACAGAGAAATGTATCAGCAACAGTACAACAAAAACCCACCAAATCAAGAATAGTATCAATGAAGATGTGTTGCCATTGTTGGATTTCAACTGTTTGTTGTTGTGGTAACTTTCAATCCAGACTGCAGGGGCTTCTGTGACTGGACACAATGGTGTGGGGTGATACAAATAACATATATTGATGCATCTGAGATGATTTGGGGGGTAAGAGATCTGAAAAGAGCTGAAGACCTTGTAGATCACCTGCTTGGTTCATGGGCGTGCTCACGCCCATTGAAAGAATGAAATGCACGCTGGTGCGCGCACCAGGGCGCCAAAACTGCGCCGCGCTCACCAATTGATTCCCAGGGCATTGATTTGAATCAATCAATTCATTATATATTGACAGGATGGAAGGAGGAGAAAGATTAAATGAATGATTGAAGAGTGAATGAGTTGATTGAGTTGATTGTAGAGTGATACGGAGAGAGACTTACCCAATACAGAGACGGACTTAGCGAATGGCATGAAGGGCTCGGCAGAGAAGAGAGTTAAGATTGAGAAGAGAAGCCGGTTTTGAAATCGATTAACCGAAAGTTGAAACTAGAAAAAATGAAATCAAGATCTGGATGAAGAAGAACCCAAAATTGAATTTAACACACAGACTGAAACCACATCACTTCATATCAAATCAAAATCAAAACCAAACAAACTAACCAACAGGCAAGCGAGAAATCAAGGAAATCAAGAAAGACCAAGAAAATCAAAGGTAAGTACAAAAAGAAATCAAACTTCAAATCATCAAACATATCAAAACCGATTACAATAACTGATGATTACGTCGATATCATTGCGTTTGAAGAAATTTAGACTAAAGAGAAACTCAACAGGTCAGGAAAGGAATTTAGCGTATGAACTACTACTATTACTACTAATACTACTGAGTACTGAGTACTACTACTGAGTGCTACTACTACTGATTACGGATGAGTAGTCAAACAAGACACTACTAGTCAATCTGATTCACTTCTCATCAAATGAACAGTTCATCATCATCATCAAAAATCAAAAACTCATTAAATTAATCAAAACAAGTCAAGTCAAGAAGAAAAAGAAGAAACTCACTACCTCACCTCACTCAATCTGAAATCATTCAAGATTTACGTACTAGTCAAACTAACCATCCCTGCTTTGATTATTTCTAAAACTCAAATAAGAAGATCAGATTCAATCCATCTTTAACTAATGAGCCATTCAAATTCAAATCAAACTAAACATCGATTACGATTATTCCCATCTTCTCTAATCAAACAACATTCATCTTCTTCATCTTCTTCTTCTTCACCTACACCTTCAAATCAACTACCACCTCCACCTACTTCTTCTAATTCAATCTCATCTTCTTCATCTGGTTCATCTTCATCTTATCAGCAACAACAACAGCAAGAACAGCAAGAACAACATGAACAGCCGATCAATCCACCACAAGATCAATCCCAAACACCACTCTCTTTTGCCATTCCAGAAGCAACTAGATCTGCGCCTGACCTCTCTTCTCCTCTATTCCTTGATTCAGAACGTCCAGAATGGCTTTGGATCAATTCAAATATCAGTTTAATCTCATCATCATCATCAAATAATAATCTTAATCCTAATAATGACTCCAAAACTGGTTTTGAATATCCTCTTAATCAACTCCATAAAACTTCATCAAGACGATTAAATCATGAAAGAAGTCAATCTCATGGTAATATCCTCAATCCTCAGGCTCAATCTACTAGATATGAACGTCGATTTCAAGCTTTACTTGAGATTTGTGATACAGAAGCGGGTTATCTGAGAGATCTTCGAATCCTTGTACATGGTTATCTTTCTATTCTTGAACGTGCACCTTTTATTAATTCAGATCATAAAATCATCGTTAGAAGAAATGTAGATCAAGTCTTGGAATTGGCTGAAAGGTTTTCTCGTAGGATCTCTTTGGCTATGGGATCGAAATTAGATCTTTGGAGAACACCTGGCTCTTCAAGAGATGAATTGGAGGTTGATAAACTCATTGAACGTCTTTCAAAAGCATTTATTAGTGAAGTTAGTCTTTTTCAAATTTCTTCTTGTTTACCATTTTTCAATCGGATGTTTTGTTGACCATTCTTTGATTTGATTTCGTCTTGACCAGTCTCCAATCTTTACAGTTTATGAAGACTTTTGTGCACGTCATCCTGAAGCAGCTGATATCATTAGGCAATTCGAAAGTAGTCCTGAATGGATATCATTTGTACAACAGTGTCGAAGTCAAGATAGCTTATCAACTTCCTCAGTTCCTTCTTCCTCACTCGCTTTTGCCACTCAGGCTCCACTTCAAACCAGTCTTGCTTCACTGGGTATGGTTCCATCTGTGCCTAACCATTCTAGATTGAGATTACAAGACTTTGCTATCAAACCTATCCAGCGTATCATGCGATACCCACTCCTTCTGACCAGCTTGCTACAATATATGGATGGTGATGCTAATTCAAGTGAAATGCGAGCAAGGGATAAGGTTTATCAAGCTTTAGGAGCCATGAAGGAAGTCGCAACAGGGGTTGATGACGCTAAATCAGCTAGAGAAATTGAACTCAAAACTGAACTGATAGCTAGTCGAATGGAGTTACATTTCGTAGGTTGATCTTCTTTACCAGTTTACCATCAATTTTTATCAATCTGACTGAGCACTATTTTGCCTGTTAGTCCTATCGTGCTGCGTTTGTGTCACTCCTTGGTCAAATTCAACTTGTTGGATCGCTCCATGTACTCTATCACGGGCCTGCACTTGACCCTAATGAGGCATTCAAGATCAAGTATCATGGTATCTTTTTATATCAAACTCATCTCGTCATTGTCAAGGTCAAGCGGGCTAGCGTCTACGAACCTCGTCATTGGTTTCCGATCCGTTATTTTGAGCTCGTCGATATACCCGAATCTACTGGTCGGTTGTTTACCTTTTCTTTTCCAGCTTTCAACCGTCGAACCATGAACTTGGCTTAACTGATATGCTTGGTTTGATATCATACATCTTTTTGTTAACTCCAGGTATCATGCCTCATTCCTTCAGTTTAAAGTATCGTCAACATTCATTTGAATTTGGAGCTATGTGGGAACCTGAAAAGAAATTTTGGATGGCCAAGCTCAAAGCTATCAAGGACGAGGTCGAGAACTTGAGGTCGATTCATCTTCGATCGGATTTACCTCTTAATGATGACTCAATCGTCTCGAGTATCAATCTTGATGAATGTGGTCCTTCCTCTCCCACTTCTTCTACCCCCAACTCTGAATCCAAACCTTCATCTTCCGCCAGTGGTTCGTGCTCACCCATCCTTAATCAGGGAATCCTACCAGAAGAACCTCTTTCGTACCTTTCAAAGGAAGACGCCATGGATGACCCACCTTCTACACCTCACTCGGTTTCTCAACCGATGCCATCTCAAGTTCCATCACATTCTCAACAATCTCGAGTCTCTCAGCGGCTCTCTCGAAATGTCAATACGTTATTGGGACGAACCCCCGAGGTTGTTCAGGCCGCCATAGATCTTAAACTTACAGAAGTCTTTTCTGATGTTTTGCTCGCTGCCCGACTTCAGGGTCAGCGTGAACAAGAGATGTCTGATACGAGCGCTCGTCAGCGTACTTTATCAGGACCTGGCTCGAGCAAGCGACACTCGCAATATCATGGTTCTGCTCAAACTTTTAGCTCCCGTGCTTCTGAACGCAAAATGAAAAGGATGAGTTACATGGAACCATCTAGTCGTATCCTCTTTGAAACCAAAGTTTCGGAATCATCTTCTAAATCCACTTTACCGCCTTTACCTGTCACACTCGCTTCTCCTGTCTCAATCCGTTCTACATCCAGCAGTCTGCGTAGAGCAAAGACTGGTCCAGCACCTGAACGACCTGCATCTATCGATCTCTGGAGGTTGAATCGAGCTAGTACGACCAACTCCACTCGATCTAGGCCACCTTCTACAATTCTTTCCACCGGTACTATCACCCTCGCCAACATATCTCCACCCTTGAACCTAAGCTGCGATTCTTTTTTAGCTGAACCTGAACGGGACCCTACATGCGAGATTGACTTGAATCGGCCCTCTACAAGTCGATCGGAATCGTGTGATGGAGGTAGTTCTTCGGGGACATCATCTTCTAAGGATATGCAAGCCGCAGACACTACGATTGTACCCAACTCACGACACTCATTCAAAGACTCCTTGTTCTCATCACCTGAACCGACGAGCGAAAACTCAAGTGCCACCACGATTCAAGAGTCATCAGAGGACAGGTGGCATCCTGGAAGAAAGACAACATTGAAGAGTGAGACTAGTGTGACTAGTCTTAGAGGTAAACCTCTACGACCCACATTACAGACCATTGCAGGATCAACTAACGATGCATCAAGTCGCATGATAGATGAAACCGAGGCCACTTTGATGAGAAAGGACCCGGAGATTGATCCTGATATCGTGGATCTTACCCTATCACCTAATTCGATTGGTTTTGATCCCACACCACCTGTAGCCTCATTGCAAAGTGTTGATAATTCTATGACCGGCGGCCGAAAGATGACCAAGTCAGCTACTCATTCTACCTCTATCGGATCATCTTGGTTACCTGGCTTCAAACTCTCACGTAAACTCTCAAGAGCATCGGTGAATCAGGAATCAGTAGAAGAAGATACCTCTGTGGAGGGGGGTACTAGTAATCTGGGTCACAGTCAAGATCCAGTAGCACCACGATCCAGACGAATTCTTTCTACCATCTCTGTGAACTCATCTACATCTACATCTTCAAGTCAACATAATGCAAGAAGAAGTGGATCAGGATGGGTACCTAGTTTTATTAGATCTAAGAGTAGTACGACGACGACGACGATCAGTCGAGGTGGAAGTCATGAAAGTCGAATCTCATCAAGTGGTAATAGTCGATCAGCTTTGATAAGTCTTTGGAATTCATCTGGATCGAATCCTGAAGGTACTATCAATCTTGATGATCATCAAGTTAGCCTTCAAGCTCCTATATCTGAACCTGTTACATCACATCATCGAAACCGTAGTAGTACTAGTAGTAGTGGGTTGAGTGGAAATAGTAGTAAATTCAGTTTTAAGAAACCTTCGTCTATGATCGGAGGTAGTGGTAGTGGTAGTACTAGTAGTGGGATTAGATCATTTTTAAGAATGACACCTTTAGCAAATCAATCGAATGCAAATAGTAATGATCATCGTGGACTTGGTTCATCTTGATGAGTTCAAATGAATTGTTTTTATGGACTCTTGTTATACGTCTTTTACACACACACTCTCTCTCTCTCTTTCTCTCTGTCTCTCTCTGTCTCTCTCTCTCTGTTGCTCTCATCTTTTTTTCACTCTTCTTATCAATCAACTTTATCTTTTCTCTTTATCTATCACAGAAGAAATCTTTTATGTAGTTAAATCAAATATCTTATTGCTTATTCTCTCTCTCTGTCTGTGTGTTTGTGTTTGAGTGTTTGAGTGTTTGAGTGTTTGAGTGTTTGAGTGTTTTGTGTTTGAATGTTTGAATGTTATGTTGTGTTATGTGTGTTATTTATAGGTATCTTTATTTGATTTTGATTTTTTTTCTTTGAACAAGTAGACTTTTAGATTAGATGGGTATTAATTTTTTTTTCTTTCTTTTTTCTGGTGGACATTTTTATTTTAAAATCTTTTTAAATTTTCTCTTTACATAACTGAAGATTATGGTTTTTTTTTGATTTTGGTGTGAAAAAAAAATCATTAAAGCTTTTTTTTATATAATACATAGTTTTTTATGGGTTTTCTTTATAAGTCAAATCTGTGTTTTTTGGTTTCGGTTTGGATTTTTTTTTGTGTTAATTCTTGAAAGTTTCAAGTTTGGTTTTTTTTTTGTGTTTTGGTGTGTGTGTTTTGAAAGTGAGAATGGTTTGTGATTTGGAGGATATTGGTTTGGAATCTTAAGAAATTTTTATGATTTTGTTTAGTCTGATGATCATGACCCCTCCGAGTCTTGTTGATTGAAGACTCCATTGGCACACACATAAGAAACATTTGAGATATGGATGACTAGTTGATGTGTTTAAATACTTATAGTCTAGAGTTAAGTTAGTAAGAGGTGCTTTAAGGTTGCAAAGCAAAAGCAATACATAGTCTGGAATTGAATTTGTGAGTTTGTTATAAAGGGGTGACAGTTAGGTAAAAACCAATAAAGTGGGATTTGATTTGGTGTTGCCCAGAATTTGATGGGTTTTGGGCAAACCAAGTTTGCTCTTAACTTGTATGATATGATATGATATGATTGTACATGATAATATCAACACCACCGTCGCTACGCTATATCTCACTTTTTCACGAGCGTAGTGATTCGGCGCTATGAAAAGAGCACTACATAATTGCTACGCTATTCTGGGTGAGGCGCTATGGGTTTTTAGAGCGGTGCGCTTTTGGAAACCGCTCCGCACCGCTATGTCCTTTTTTCTCGCGAGGAAACGGTTCAATGCGTGATCAGGCAGCGTTTTTGAGTCATAAGGCTTGATTCGATTACGTGTGTGTTAAGTTGGGCATGGTGGAGTGGGGATTGACAAAGAAAAGTATCAAAAAAAAGGAAAACAATTTTTTTTTGGGTATGATTGTTTTTTTGAAAAAAACAAATATCAAAACAACTTTTTTTGGGGGGTTTAATCATTCTTTTTGAGGACAGGAACGGGAGAGAACACTTTTTTTTGGGGGATTTGATATTAATTTTGAAGACTGCAGACAAGGAGATTGGAATCTTTTTGGGTAATTTTTATCCAAGATAGGGAAGAAAGATAAGGAAAAGATGGAAAGGTATTTAGAGGAAATATATTACTTTCTAGACTTGGTGCTAGAAGTTTCATAAGCTTGTAAATAAGCTGAAGCTTCAGCAAATGTGTCCGAAAGAGAAATCTTGGCCTTTAACCATTCACGTACACCAACAAGCCTTGAAATAGCCCTCACCTTCAAAGAAGCCCAACCAGGTACTGCAATATTGGCAGCCAAAGAGAAAGTCCTCTTGCAAGGACAAGAGGTACCAGATACCCCAAGATAATCTTGAGCAATAGACACAAGGACGGGAAATGCTTTTCGTGCTCCTATAAGTAGTAACAAATCCAATCAGAGAGAAGATTCAGAAGATGCTTAGAAGGGCTGGATGAACATACCTTCCACCACTCTAGCTCCAACTGATTAGCAAGCATAAGATGAGCCCCCTCAATATAGTCAATATGCTCCTCCTGACGTTTATCGGCGGGTGACTGAGCTGTGACTTGGGTAGTAAAAACATTGAATTGTGAACAGTTTGCAGAGGGAGACATTGAAAGGGGAGGACTTTGAGATGCCTCATCTGAAGTTGAATCAATAGGCTCTTCAGGCCAGTTGGCAAGAGCTTGATCAAAGACCTTTTGGAATAGTTTTTTGGCTCAAACAGCCTCTACAGGGTATTTGTTGTCAAAGAATCGGATGCAAAACCATGGATTGAGGATTGTCAAGATCACTAGCACGTCAGAAGTAACTGCTTCTTCTTGATAACCTTCCAGTTTGGTCCGCATCAAGACAAGCATTTCCTTCAAGTCCAAGTCTTTGCAGGCTTCAACCAGATGATCAAGTTTGAGTACCATTTGCAAGTATTCAGCAAGTAAGATACAACCTGTGGGTACGTTGCCCTCCATTCGCTTGGTGGCATACAAAAATATCTGCAATGAAAGAGATGGTGTCAGCAAGAATTCAAAGCTATGAGCAGGTTCAACAAGGGACAAACCTGAAGTATTTTCACCAGGGTCTCAATTGAGTCCCATTTGTCAGCACTTATATGTAAGCCTTGGTAATAGCAAGTTTTTGGATCACTGAGTAGAATAGCATTGACAACCTACAGATAAAGAGGCTGTAAGAGAAGGATAAATGATGATGAGATGATTAAGAGAAGGGGAAGAAGGGATAAAAGAAATATAACCCACATCTTGTGCATCACTTAACCTTTTGAGGTAGTCTGCGTGCACATTCCATTGCACTCCCCAGCCAGAGATGGGTGAGCAACCCTTGTATTCCATTTGATTAGCCTTGGCTCAAAATTCTCGACGTCTTGCTGAACTTCGGGTACACAAGCTGTTGAACTTCTTGGCCTATAAGAAAAGATGTTAGCCAAGAAAAATGAGGTAGGAGTGGTTGAGAAGTTGATTATACTTACTTTACAAACAGCCTGAGCTACGCCAGAGACATTTCCACCTCCACCATCTTCAGAATCCGAATCAAAATATTCATCATCAACTGCTTCTTGATCTTGATCAGTATTGTCTTGGTCCTCATCTTCAGATGAGTCGAATTGGAGGTTGTTGTTGCCTTCATTCAATGTCATGATTGGAGTAGGTAATGTAATTCCCGGCAAAGTGGTAGGCTTGATGTGACCAGCGCGTAGACCGAGAGACTTGAGGCCTGCTTTGACAACCAGGCCAATCTTGTGGGTGTAAGACTTTATTTGATTAGCGGAGGCATCCCAATCGACCGAGTGTTCAGCATCCAGAAACATGCTTGATAACTCTTGGGCCATGGTCGCATTTGAGCTGGCTGAGTCGGTCACCTGAGCTAACATGTAATAGATCAAATAAAAAGGTTAGCTTACATGAAGAAAAACAAAAGAAAAAGGAAAGGGAGTTGAAATCAAAGAAAAAAACTTATCTGTTTGTGGAGACCGTTGGTGATTAAGAATTGGCCGACTGACTGTGCAAGGAGTTGTCCAGCGTGGTGCCAGGTGACTAGCTTAAGGGTGAGGTGGAGCGTCTGGAAAGTCCAATCTTTGTCGACATAGGTAGCAGAAACCCCTATAAAAGCTTTCCGACGACCCTTGGTGGTCCATACATCACAGATGAGGCAAAAATTGCCCTTATCAGACTACAAAATAAATTCAGAAAAGATGAAATTAGATATTCATCAGTTTTCAGGTCAAGAAGGTGATTGATGATATGATTGAAAGACTTACCTGAAGTTTACTGATAACTGTTTGTGAAAGATCTTGATAGATTGCTTTGGCTTTCTCAGAAGCCCAGGTGGTCCCTCATATGCACAGGGGGAAAAATAGAAGCTCACATAGATGTGAGCAGAGAAAGTTTGGAGGTTTCTCCAAGATTGTTTCCAGTTTGTTTCCAATTTTCTTCCAATTTTCCTCCAGTTTTCTTTCAGCTCATCATCTGATAAAATGGTCAGCATGGCCTGAGCAGATGAGTCAGGCCTTCCTCAGGCTTTATCCCTCAGCCAAGAAGCCTGAGGGAGGGCTGGCTCATCTGCTCAGGTCATGTTGGGCCCACCAATGCTCAGCCTGCACAGTCGCGGCGAGAGACCCTACCAAATGTGAAAAACACAATGGGAACCATCCCTTTGGATAATTCTGATCCCAGGAATGCCACTGAGGATTAGGTGAGCAGCCCCTCAGCCAATACTCAGTGACATCCTTTGGATACTTCTGATCCCAGGAATGCCACTGAGGACTAGGTGAGCAGCGGTGCTGAACTGAGCAGCCCCTCAGCTAACACTCAGTGACATCCTTTGGATACTTCTGATCCCAGGAATGCCACTGAGGACTAGGTGATCAGCTGTGCTGAAATGATCAGCCCCTCAGCTAATACTCATTGACATCCTTTGGATACTTCCGATCCTGATCCCAGGAATTCCACTGAGGACTAGCTGAGCGGCCCCTCAGCCAATACTCAGTGACATCCTTTGAGATCCTTTGGATCCTCCTGATCCCAGGAATACCACTGAGGATTGGCTGAGCAGCTGTGCTGAACTGAGCATCCCCTCAGCCAATACTGAGTGAAATCCTTTGGATACCTCCAATCCCAGGAATGCCACTTAGGACTATCTGAGCAGCCCCTCAGCCAATACTCAGTGACATCCTTTGGACCCTTCTGAAGGTGATTCTGAGTATACAGTGATGTGTCAGCTGGGTCCTGAGCACTCATCCATGCTCAAGAGAGGCTCATCCAAGATGAAGATGAGCATGCTTTAGCAAACTCAAGCAATACCTAAGTATTACAGGCTGAGCATGTTGGCACCACCAAAATGGTGAATTGAAAGAATCTGAAGGAAATTGAAACATTTTTGGAGTTATCAGGAAGGTACCCTCTGCTCACATCTATGTGAGCTTTTATTTTTCCCCCTGTGATGTTGGCTTGTTGGTTTGATAGCTTGAAGGCAGCTCTCAAGGGGGATCATTGAAACAAGAGAAGGGGAGGGCATGT